CATATTCAATCCCCCAATACATACCAGCTGCCTCAGAAAACCTATTCAATCCCAAAAGAAAAAAAACCAAAAACAATCTACATCAGAATCTTTAATATCTCTAAAAAATTGTTAAAACGTTTATAAAACATTGTTCCTGGACATTCAACATCACAATGTTTACAGAGATCCAGTAACAAGGCATTGGAGCCAAGTAATGGTTTATGGCAAATTCTGCTAATTCAACTCAAATCTCTGGCTTAGTTGGGATTCAGTAGACACCGGGAGCCCCCTCACTTTCTTATATTGACTTAAATGTGGATGTTCAGTGCAAGTTTCCTCCTGCCAGTTGGGTTTTCATAGCAGAAGGAATATTTAAAACTAAAAGAGAAAATAAAAACCTCTTGGCTTCTATAACCAGATTGAAAGACTTTTGGTTTTAAAGTTGAGTCCAAAGTAATTAAGTTGGAGAGAAAGCTTCCAATTTCTTTTGCTGGGCACTGAATCAGGTCCTGGGAGCTTAAAAGCACAGAGGGAAACATGAAACCAGCTACAAAATTTCCATCTTGTTGGATGGTCTGACTTTTCCCAATTTTATTTTGTCCTACTTGGGAGAAAAATTGATATTCATAAAATACTAAGCAGACTTGCAATCTAAAATGCCTTTGATTATTTTGTATTAAACTGGAAAATGCAGTATAATAGCCTCTCAAAATAAAAGGAAATGAGAAAGGAAAAAGTCAGTAAGAAAATGTAAACAAAATCAGGTCATTGATTGTCTTGAAACATTTACAAACATATCTGTCAATGGTACAGTTGGGATGGGAATAGTCCTGCAAAAAACTATTCTGATGGAACGTCATTTTTCCAAAGGAAGTATAAAGGCAGTAGTCTTGGCACAGCAACCCTCATACCCTAGACATTGCCAAGAGCCTTTCCTGAATTACAGAGGTTCAGTTGCTCTGCAGGGAAAGGGCAAGGAGGGTGTTATGCCAACTTGATAACACAAGGCCATTAAGACACCATTTCAATGTTTGTTTTAAATTAGAGAAGCCTCATTACTACACAATATTACTGTATGTAAAGACGGGGACTTTAAAGGTTGAACTTGCCAGACAGGATTTGAATCCTGAAAAGCTCTTGCCAATCCCAGCTAGTCAGAACCTGATACTGAATAAAGCATTTTTACTCAAAAACACCTTAAGCCTAAAGTGGTCATAGAGAAAAAAATTGCAGCCATTGAGGAAAAAATCCCTGCTAAATCACAGCATCCTCTCTGCACCTGTTCCCACCTTCTTCCAGGATTTTATGCTGCCAGAGAATCGGGCTTTGGCAAAATCAAGAACCTTACTTAAATGCATGAGACTTTTGTGACATAAGAAATATCACTACTTGTGAGCTTTAAATACAAGCAGGTGTGGTTTTATGTAAGAAAAAGCAAAGGACAAAGTGGTCATGAAAGAATGCGCTCTTAGCTTACACTGCTTAGGTTTTTGACAGGCAGGTAATATTACGTGCTATAAATTGAGTGGGAAAATACAGCTGGCTTGGTGAAGCACAGCACTTGGGTGAAGTCTAAAATCAACAGGAAAACTGCTCATTTGCAGGTGAAGAAACAGAATATTGTGAGTGACTCAAGTCAGGTTTCCTTTCACCAGAGAACTGTTGAAAAGTGGTGCCTGGGTGGCACTTGCAGACCTGCTGCTGCACAGACAGCAAGCACTGGTGGCTAGCAAGCCTTTAAGCTATAGCCTGTTCTCACATAGATACATTCCAACATCCAAAAATACACCCTTTTTAATTTCTTATTTAATAGTATTGGCACATTAAAGTGTCCTGAGAATGCAGTGAATCATAAATATACATATGTATATGTTTAGAGACTTTACAATTAGAAGACAGCATGTATGCACACACACATCAGCTATGTTGGTTTTAATTTTTGCCCTGGGTTGGATTGTGCGAGTTGGATGATGGGTTAATGTTAAGCATCATTATTTAAAACTACAAATTTAAGGGTATGTCTTCAATTACTGGAGTGTCCTTAACACTGAGATTGATTTGTACAATCTAAAAAACATCTAAATAATAAACATCTTGGGTCAAGTAATCCCTTCATCAAATGACTTTCACATCAGTGTCAGAAACGTATTACAGAGCATATAATTCACAGTTCATTTTCTGGGATAATCACACAATTAGTAGGAAAATTGGCCAATTTATCAAAAATTTGATTATGTTTGAGAGCATTATGCTAAATCCACCTTATGCTCACTTGAACTTTGCTTTCTGAACTGCCACTATTAGCACTGATTAATGCCACTGCCTTTGGCTTCGATCAAATCTATACCTAAAACTTCTTGGAAGAAGAAGGTAACATTTGTTTTACCATAAAGCAGAGAAAGTAAAACTGGATTCACATTTAGTGGAAGACTTTTCAGCTTGGTGAGGCAATAGGATTTTTTAATCTATATTGGAAAGAGTTAGACACTCATCAACTTCTTGGCTCTCTTCAGTAGACAAAAAATATTGCTGGCAATGTATTTTCTAGAAATACATAAGAATATTTAAGCTGAAACACTTTATGCACTTTGTTGACCATATTAGCCAACAAAGTTGACTATTACAAAGTGAGACTATGTTCTAGAAAGCTCTTTGTAATGCTATGACTCTCTTCAGGGCACTCAGTACAACTTAACCAGACGTGGGTTGTTGGGGAGATATGTCAAGAGAAGAAGGGGCACATAGATGAACCTTTAGGAAAGTAGCTGAGAGGGGTTTCCAAGTTCAGGAAGCACAATACGCTAAGAGGTATCTATCAGTGTTAATACCCAGAATAACCCAGTATATCATCTGTAATAATGCAGTCAGGAAACTCGGGATGCAATGGGGATGGAATATAAAGAATTTATTTTTCCAGTGATATACAGACTTTTTTTCTATTGTAGAGTGAAATGAAGAAGCTCATAAATAGGGTTGGGATGCTGGGCTATAAATTTATATTTAAGAGAGAATAAAAACATCTTAAAAAGAATCACAGGAAATAGAGGGTTTTTAAGCGCAGGAAAGTCAGAAAATCTCAGGTTGTCATTCTGGGGTGGGAGGATAAATTGTGCAGAGATGTCAAATACTGTTCCTATGCTAATTGCACTTGCTTCAGTGAAGAGCAGATCACAGCGGCACAGAAAGTCTACAGCTGCCGAAGCACTTTAGAAGTAGCTGAATCTGAGCAGGTACATCTGGGCAAGGAGAACAGCAGAATGCCACATGTGAGGGAATCAAATTGAATATACAATTGAGCAATGAGCCAAGAGAAGGAGGAATATTGCTTGCCTATGTGAAAAGATAAATTACATTCAAGATAAGTATTGTACCATCAGCATTGTGATCTCCATACTAGCATAACCTGGGTACGCTGCAGTTAAAACCATTGCTCAAGATGTGCTATGCTGTAATTAGCACACACAAGGTTGTGTGAGGTGAGGAAAAGAAGGAAAAAAAAGAAAAGACAGCAATGCCAGAGTGCTTCAGTTTTACTGTGGGATGAATTTGGCTAAGTCAACCTTAGGCAGAGGTATAGCACTGATCTTGTAAATTGAAGTGTCTCTCCTTCCCTATGTTTTTACCTCAGGAGAGCTGAGATGTATTAGTTACCCTGAGGTTAAAAGGAAAAAAACAAACATACATACAAAAAAATGGCTTTTTTTAGCCTTAGCAAAGACAAGCAGTCAGTTTAATTTATTGTAAGGTAAGTAGAAAGGTTGTACCTAGATAAGAATATAGCACTGGCCTTACATACCTAGCCAGAGGCAAGCACCTGAAGTGTCACCTTCCCCTTCGGTATTTGTAGTGACATATTCCACATTTGTTATCTTGCTCCAGCAAACTCATCCGTCTTGGGCAACGAAGGCAAAACCTTCTCCTATTTTGGTTTTGGGGTCAAAGCTTGGAGAAGGTTATCAACAAACATATTTGGAATTACTGTGCAACTGTTCTAGCACAAAAAAGGGGCTTGTTTTCACTCCCAAATTTCTGAGGGTTTTTCTTCGCTTTCAGCAAACATAATGTGGCTATTTACTTTCTGTTGAAGCTGTTTAACTTTTCCCTTGCTTTCAAAACAAATCAGTTCCCATATTCCCCTCCAAACGGCTTTCGAGAATGGAGTTATTTATGCAGGATAAAACTTTTATCTTGCTCTGAGGTTAGGGATCAGTCCCTCTTCCCCAGGAGCTTCTGAAAGTGAATACCCCAAACAGCAGCAGTCAGCAATTTCAAAACCAGGTCATTTAAATTACAGGGGAGAATCCAGGCTTTATAGATTAAAATGGAGGCAAAGTCGTGAAATTCATACTAAATATAACATAAAACCGGAACCAGACCAGACCTTTTTTGTTAGAATTTGCTGACTAAGCAAGAATAAAACCTTTCATAGCAGAAAAGCCAGCTTCTCTTAGAACTAGTGCACCATCAGTCAGGCATCTCCCCTGAAGCTGTATGACCTTTTTCTTCTCCCCTTTTAGTGGCCTTGTGTTAAGGTAAGAAGGCTCTTTATTAGAAAGTGGGATATGAGGATAACTCCTAACATCTGCATATACAGAGACTGACATACATTTCCAACTGAACTGTTCATTGAGTTCGCACTGAAACCACAAGATTTACCTTCTACACATATTAGAAATACTTTTGTATATCAAATGCATTGAAGACTAATTCTGATCCTCTGTTAGGGTCTGCAGAATTTATAATTAATAAAGCCTGCCTATGTAATTTTATAACTCTCAGGAAGTTACAGCCTCAGTGACAGGTATTCAGCTCACAGCAAGATCTCTTGGGATGTTAACAAGCTAGCCTAGCCCAGCCGGTACCTTTGTCCTTCCAGCTTTATTGGTTTCGTATCAACTAAGTCTTATTTAGAGCATAATATTAATCTGCTGATGACAACATATGGGATAAACGCACCACAGGCAGAAGCTGTCAAGTCTAAGCCAAATTACTGAAGGAAAAAAAAACTAGCACAGGAATGCAGAATATGAGATTTATGATTATCACATGGAATGCAGTGGTCATATCCTCAGTGTCTGTAAACGATTTGAATATCTTCACCAAAGCAATCACGTGTGTCAAATATTCACAATGGATGTCTGCCACAAAATGCAGCAAACAAATCACTTGTGCAGCTCAAGCAGTATGGTTTTCTGCTCCAATATTTAGTATAATTGGTTATTTTTATACCTTTCTTATGATTGTCCCTCTCCCTTTACCTTTTACATCCATAGGCTGTTACCCACTTTTGTGATTTCAGTGACCTACAAAAGAACATGTGACAGAACGTGAAGACAGAGAAAGAAACAAAATTAATTTACACCTGTTTAAATTACATTAGAATTAACAAGTGACCTTTTACTTCACTCATTTTTAATTGAGGTTCAGTCTATCGGTACTCAGAAGAACACATAGGGTGTGATTTTCAACACTGGCTCAATTTTTCCAGCTTTAAGTGTAATTGGCCTCAGCAGGGACAAAAAAATAAGTAAAGGCAAGCCAGGAAGGTCTTGAAAATTGCACAGTTTGTGACAGATAAAAACACTGATAATATTTCCATTGAAATCACTGTGGTTCGGAGCTTAGTCCTGAGTACCAGCTTGCAGCTGTAATGGAAGTAACAACAGCAATATGCATGAGGCTTACAAATCCCTGCCCAACCCCCCAGCACCCTGGTACCATATCAGAAGTTCTCTTTTGTGTTATTGTTACCTGGAAGAGAGATAACATGAGCTTGAGCTGAAGACTGTGGTAAGAGGGGGACCAGTATATCCACTATTTTATAGCCATCTACTGAAAAGATCTGGAGACAAACAACAGAATGCAATCACCTCTGTGGTATTAGGAACTAAGCCTATTTAAATGGCCCCAGATCTAAGAAAGGTACAAAATCACTTCAAAGTAGAAGTCTGTCAGAGTATCTTGAATGGGAAAGATGATACACTGGCTCAGACCCTCAGCGTTAATGGCAGTGATGTGCAAATAGGCTAATTTATCAAATTGTAGATTTGGATCAGTAGATCTGGGACAACCAAAGACCCAGTTATTGACTGTGTCACTTAATGATCAATATGATAGAAAAGTTTTTTAATAAAAGCTGATAATACACAAAAGATAAGGATTCAAAATATCTAAGTCAAACCTACATTAAACCCAACTTTTTAAAGATAAACATGGTTGTGATCTTCATTAGTATGTTCTTTACAATACATATATGAAGGTGCCCTACACATCCAGGGACAAGCTCATCTGCTGTTCTACACTGACATGCATGTTGAGATCAACTGTGTGTTTGCTCTCCCCAAGCAGTGGATCAGTGCTGAATCCATCACTTTTGACGGCAGCTCGCCACACAGTCCTGCAGTATAGAGTTGTTACTTGTGAAAAGATGCAGAAAACCTCTGTACAACCAGTAACATGCTGATGACAAAGACTTGCCTTCATCCCAGATGTCTCCAGCAATCCCAGGACCCATTTTCAGACACATACACTTCCTTTTTAGGAAACTTCTGCCCAGCCTGAATTTAAACTGTCCACAAACACCATCTGCCTTTGCAATGAGCACTGTTCTTATTCCTTTCTGGGCTACTGGCAGCCCACACTGGGACCTGGAAACCAAGCATGTTACTGTGCAAGCCAACAGATGGCTGTCTTGCATTTCTTTCTATTAACAATCCCATTTGCTACAGAGGAACAACTGTCGCTGCTCTCTGGAATCTATTTTGCATCATGATTCTACATGATTTTGCAAAAAGAAGGAATAAGGGATACCCTAAACCCTTCTGTCTTCTATATGGAGGAAATTTCAACTGTGACAAGACTGCTTCACTGTTTAGATATGAAACTGCTGTACTAAACATTCATTTTTTTCCTCATTAAGCCTCATCAATGTCAATACCAGATTTTTTTCTGTTCTTACTTAAACCTTTGCAGTCTATCTATACTCAGCAGGATTAAAATGGTCAATGCGCATAGATATAATCATCATCCAGCATAACGAAGTGTAGTATCTGTTCTATACCACCTTGAAAATCAGAAAAATGATCCAACAGTTCTATCAGGCCTTCAGAATCTGAAAGTCAGCAGTTATTTATGGATCCTAAGCAGACTTGGTTAAATACCACAAAAAACAGTGAATAATTCTGTCATAAGCACTGTCAGCTCATTCGGTTATTATTTGTGGCTTATTAGTATTAACTGCATATGTGTATCTGCATGACGAATGTTTTCAGCCATGAAGATGTTTATGAATCCTAAATAATTCACAATACCCAGTGAATAATAGCCCATGCTGAAAAGCAATATCGCAAGTCATTATGGGTTAGATGGTTTTGGTTATTTTCTCATTTTAGCAGGCTAAATTATCTAAACATAGTGTAGAAACAGAAGACTTGCCTCAGCAGATAAATCTAATGCTTGAAAAATGCCAGATTCTTAAAGAAACAGTAGCAGGGATAATTCATCAAAAACCTTTGTAATAAGTTTTATTTGAATTGGCAAAGAGTTAGAAGAGTTTTTTAGCAATTAACACACTCACAGAAAAGCTCATCAGTTCAGAAACAGGACAAAAGGAAACAAAAGATTAATCAGTTCAATAGTTCATCAAGAATAATCTTGAACACTTCTAGTCCATAATGGACTTAAAGATTTGCAATTAATCACCATTGTCAGAGTAAAATCCGCTGTATTCTTTAGGATTTAAAATAAATTAGACTGCATTCCGGACAACTCCATTGTTCAACAGACATAATAAACACAACTTGAAAGAGTATTTAGTTCAGGTTAGTGGACAGAAGAGCTAAAGGCAAGCTGGAACATTGCTCACAGATATTTGCACGGATACCAGTTACGTACTCTGGGGACAGTTCACTTGGTATCGGTTCCTTGTCTTGCCTTCTCCTCTCTCGGTAAGGGATCTTTTTTGACATTGTAGAGGCCAAACACGAACATGAGGCCACTGTATGAGGCCAGAATCAGAAAGGAAGAAGCAGGTGACGATTTTGCAGTGTCTTTGCCTGGAGCCTTTCATTAGAATCCAGTCACTCCAAGCTGCTAAAGACTGTGAGGATGATGATGAAAGGTGTGGACCTCAACAGCCCACCAGGGTGCTCGGTCACTTAGAGGATGTCTGCTGTTTACAGTACATTCACATGCTGGTGAACAGCAACAGGCAGAAGACCAGGGATGTGCCACTGATGGCAGTAATGGTATCCAAGAGGCCCCTGTGTTCCATGTACCCTGACACTTCATTCTGCAAAAATATTTGGAAATAGGAGAGTGAATAACGATCCCTGGGTTGAACCAGCACAGCTATTATTATGATCTTATACTCTAAATGGAACTCACATTTCTTCTGCAAATGGAGAGAAGTCAATCTTACCTTTATGGTGATGCCTGTGTGTATTCCTTGAAAGCATGTACTGCACAGCAGGTGTTTCATCTGCAACAATCAATGGCCAAATATTTTTTTGTAGCACTAAAAGGAAATCAAAGCCCAAGTTTTTACCAGAAAAATATCTAGCCCACATTTATATAACCCCAGAATATATTAAAAGATACTGTATTTGTGGAGTGGGACAACCACAGGTAAATTGTTCCTTGTCCAGTAGTTGACATAGCTCATAGTCTAAGGGAAAGTTTTACAGTTTACAGAAGTCCTTGCACACTGGGGACTCACAAAGTAAACACCAAGACAATCTTTGCTGGGAACAAATCCCTTTTCAGACTCTCTGCAGTTCTTAAACCCATGGTCTCATTATCTCGCATACAGCAGGCTTCCTCCTTGTATGACTTATTTCAACAGAAACCTGTTTTCTAGTGCCAAGATTTTGGAAATTGTCCAGACTGCCGGGTTCTGTTGAAGCTCCCTGACCTCTTCACAGACCCTCATCACCATAGCTGGCTGATACAGCGACTGATAGTCAGCCTCTCATCACAACCAGTCTGTCACCCACAGATGAATGATCACAGCCAGGTCTCCTCAACATATTTCAAGGTTACCTTGGCATCTAGATGAAACTTAAAATCCCTAGCAGTCAAAAATAACTTCTGGAATTGGCTGTGGAGAAGAGGGACACTCTGCAAGTCTTCTCTGTAAGTCCATTGAAGAGGGCGCTATGGAAGTGGCACCCTGTGATGTTGCCAGGGCCCCAGTCAGTATGAGTACTTATTCATTCCAGTCTTGATGGACATTATCAATAGCTCTGTCTACGCAGGCTGAATTTTGTATTTACAGTAAATGGACTCATAATGGAGTTAGCAAACCTTTTATTCTTACTTTAATTTGCTTTCACATCAGTTTGGCTAAAACTTGGGATTTTCCCCTACAGTCTTCGTTCTTTCTTTTATCAAATTCATTCCTGCTTCAGAGTATTTTAACTTTCTATGTTTCTGAGTCGAAGCTAGAGAGACCGCCAAATGAACAGACTAACACTGCATTTCTAGATATGGACAGAACATCTCATACTATGGCACAGTCTTCAAGAGAGTGCTCCTCATTCCCAGAACTCTTAAGTTTCTGCAGTTACTCACAGCCGTCCCCAGGAATTAGCTTTCCCATCAGGAAATTCTTCACAGTTTTTGATGTGGGGATGACTTGCTGTTTGCATTCCTTGACCTCCTCATCAGGATGTATGGAGATTCAGCAGACTGTTGTCACTGGAGCTGATCTAAAAGGTACAAGAGAGGAAATTATGGTTTGCCTACCTGTCTGACACTGCTCATTTTAAGAGTGTCGATATTATTTAGGCTGTTATGAATAAATTTTTCTCTATATGTACTTGTGTTCGACTGTTTCAGATTAAGTGTCAAACTTCAGGAATCCCATTCCTTGATACAATATGGTTTGGAAGACTCTCATGATAACCACAACCCAGTAGGGGTCCAGCAGTACCTATAAGGATGAAGACTACATGGATTATTTCAGAAATTAGGTAGCAGAAAGAGTCTGTGTGGAAGAGACATCTTCTAGCAACTGTTGTCACAGGAAAGAAGTAGCTTATCTCTCATCTCTCATTCTGTAAAAGTACAGGAAGATCACATAGAACTACACTTGCTTTCTGACAGCAGAAAACTTTGACCATACTGGTGTGGTTTTCCAAGACACCAGCTCTGGTATCTCGCCTCTCTGCTGCAGCACTGATGTATCCTTTGTTAAAGACAAGACATCACTCATCTCTCTCCAAGTACAAATGTCTTACAAGTCACTTCTGTGCTTAATGCAAGCTGACAAAAGGAGGTTTATATACTGTGCAACAATACCTACTGCCACTCAAGCGGAGAGAAGATACTTCAAGGGCAGCCCCCTCCTATGTGACACAACTACTGCTTTGGCAAACAGAACAGATGACTTGCAGCAGTAACACTGTTCCCTGCTTCAAGTCCCTCAGCTAGACTATTAACTGCTATCTTGTGGCACATTTGAAGATTAATCGGCATCTTAGCTTGCAGTGGTGTGGCTAATTTAAACACAAACACACTGCAGAGAGTAGAGAGCCTGAAGGGGAAAGCCGGCGGGCCTTGGAAGCAAAATTATTTGCAAAACCTGGAAAGGAAATAAATAAAAGTAAATGAGTGATCTATTAAAAATACATTAATGGCATCTACAAATGAAATTAAAGCTTAGATAATCACGTTAATAGCAGCGTCTCTGGTGAGCATTAATGCTTAATTTTTCCTTTTATTTGGTGAAGGCATATATTAATTAAAAATGCTTATATAAGGTAGAGGCTTGACAGGAATACTCTGTGCAGGCTTTCAGAAGGGAGCTGCTCTGTTAAACAGCTATTTTAGAAGAAAAAGCCTCTACTCTATACAACAAAGGCAAGGCTATTCTTCAATAAATCTTATTTAAGGCCTGTGTTTTCTAAATATCCTCTGTGGCTAGAATTGGATGGAGTAGGCTGCATTCTACAAATGATATAATACACTTTCGTTCCCATTGTTTAGTTAGCTTGTACTGGAAATAAATTTTCATCTTATCCTCCCCCTCGCTTTTACCCCTTTTTATTGTTAAACTTTTATTGAACTGTTGAACATCCAAGAACAAAACCAGACGATCTGATATGTCGAATGTATTGTACAAATGAGGAGGGCAAAGCTAAACACACATTCAATAGTGGGCATGAAAATATTATCAGGCTCTGAGGCAGGGACAAACCAAGACCATGTGTCACTAATGAGACTATTCAAAGTAATTCTGATGAAGTTATGATTCTGTTGGCATCCAGTACTGAGAAGGAAATGCTTAGCATTTGAAAAAAGAATAGTTAATCATTTTGCAGCTCTCTGGGGCACTCTTTCAGGATTTTCCTCTTTGTTCTATCCCCCTTTTTTTTCTTTTCTTTTTTTTTTTTTCCTCTCATCTTTTCAACACAAGCAGTGCGATGAAAACAGAGAGGATTAGAAGTTGTCCCTGACATGCTTCATTGTAAGGTTGTTAGTTTTGTCTTTCTGCATTTATGAGTTTGAATTCTGTATGAGGCACCTGTTAGCTGTTGAGAATAAATCAACAGGAAGGTCACACATGGGTTTGTATTGTACGCTTGCCTTTTTAAGCTTGTTGGGAACTCAGTGCTTTGCTATACAGGAATAAACGCTGGAAAGAACACCAACCATGCTGTAAACACTATTTCATTATGTGAACTGTGTGTGAATTGTGTAGGCTCCTCAAGCAAAAGTTAATCTTAACGTCCTGTTGCCAATACTCGCATAATTAACTTAGGGTAACAACGACAGGAGTCTCAATTCATGGTGCCATTTAAGTAAGCAATAGCTATGGCAGATAAGTTTAACTATAGCTATGTTGCATGGAAAGAAATGAGCACTGCAAAAAGGCACTTACAGAAATAAACAGGGAAGATGATGTACGGATGTAGCTCTCTGAAAGCTCAGATAAAAAGGCCTGCCTGTGCAGTCCATTATGCTTGGTAAGTCAAGGATGGGTTGCACAAAAGCAACCGTTGAAGTTTAACACAAGACTTGATATTCATTACGGCTCTTGAGAATGTCCAGTTCCCTGTGCCCTTTAAAAACTACACCTGGGCTTCACAATGAGAAAGGTTTCTCAGCAACATTGCCCATTTCTTTAACACTGAAGCATGTACATAAGATTACTGCATGTGCCTCAGGAATAGAACACAAACTCAATGCCCTTTTTGGGATAGGGAAGGAGAGGGATGCAACAATTCCAAATCCCAAAGCCTTTTTCACCTGATGGTGGGCTCCACAGGCTCTCACTGCTCCTCCCTGAGAAGCTGCACCACACCTATGAAAGAAGAATTCAGCACTGATGAGGTCAGGAAGAGGGAGCAAGGGGTGCTGCGCTCAGTTCCTGTCCTAAGTCTTGCTTGCACATTTTATATGAACATTTGCATTTTGCTTGTATGGCTCCAATATTTTCTAAATTATATTTTCTTTATTACTAAAGGTAACATGCTATGGATATGTTCACATTTTAGGTCTATGGCCAGTTATATCTCCTTTTTAACCCCATCTTTAAGAGATATGTTTACTATTTTTCTCACCCCTCCTTGCAACCTGGCACTGCTGCCAGTACCAAAGTCAAAGCACAGCCAGAACATCCTTTCTTGAGTGAAGTCAAAGAGTTATAGGTTAAATTCATTCCATACTGAAGCTCATGGCAAAGCTTCCACTGAATTCCATAAAGATAAGACTTTTCCCAGCTATTTCGATCTATGAAGAGGCAACTCTAAATTTTCCATAGCTTTAAAGAACATTCAAATTACTGGTAATTATAAATATCAGGCAAAACCGCCACAGTTGGTCACCCAGAAGGAATGTTCCTAATGTTGGTCAATCAGGTTCTGATTTTCCATAAAGAGAAGGACTGTTCAATCCCAATTTTACAGATGCTGTATGTACTGGTACAGTAGGAATACATGTTTTGCAGCTTCAAGAGCTTATTCCAGCAATAATCAAGCACAGAACCCCTAAACATTCAGCATTTGTCCGTCATTACCATACAGCACAAGCTGGCCTATTCCCCAGACACTTCATTCAACAGTAAATTTTGATGATACCGACACATTGAGCAGAAAAACAGAGTAGACAATAGGAAATAAATGAACTACCAGTCTGCCTCGAAGTGTTAGTGGACTGGCATTATTAATGGTGTTTTCTCAATTCCATTGATGGGCACCATGCTGCAAGAAACATGAAGTGCCAGCTTATTACTTCCTGTAATTTGTCATCTTTCTGACAAAGTTAATGGATCTATATAAGTTTTCCCCTCAGGTGAGAATCTGACCAAACATTTAGACATGTCATTGCTTTGATAAACTTACAATATAAAAAGGATGGCGGCATAGCAAGCAGAAGCCTTTTTGAGAAGGCAGAAGCAGAGACAACTGTAGTCTGTCAGCACAGGTGAAGGGAGAGGGGCTGAAGAACAGAATACTAGTGATAAGTACCAGAATTTTACTTCATTAGCCAGCGAAGAGTGAAGCTTTTTGCTGGCCATTTTACAATTCTCTCATTTGACTTGTTTACTGATGGGAATGTTTGCCAAGGAACTTTGGAAAAATAGTGACATATGAACAATCTGTTGCGGCATATTGTAGTGGTGGTGTTTGTGCTGCTATAGTTACTAAGCTTTTAGCATTTTTTTGTAATTTGTCTTGAAAAAGCTGGAACTTGGCATGAAGTTTTTGGGTGCCTCCATCTTTAAGTTTTCATATTTTTCATTACATTTCTGCAGGGTTTTTTTTTTTTCCTATGTGAAGAAAAGCCT